CCAAATTGGTAATTTTGCTATAGCCAAGAGACCATTTCAGTAATTAACTTTAGGTGTTGGCAATTCGGTTCAGTTTTCCCGAACCGAACCATACCGAACATTGAAGTAATTAACCGTACTGAACGATTCGGTTAAAAACCGAAAGGAAATACCGTTTGATTTTATTTATAATAATAATAATAATAATAATAATAATAATAATAATAATAATAATAATAATAATAATAATAAAAAAGAAGTAAATCCAAGTCCCATTGATGCCTCCTTTACCGTTCAACCGAACCGTATTTCCTTTATTATTATTATTATTATTATTATTATTATTATTATTATTATTATTATTATTATTATTATTATTATTATATTTTAAATAAAATCAAACGGTATTTCCAATCAGTTTTTAATTAACCAAATCGTTCGGTACGATTAATTACTTTAATGTTCGATACAATTTAGTTCGGAAAAACCGAACCGAATTGCCAACACCTAAAGTTAATTACTGAAATGGTCTGATCCCTTGATTATAGAAAAATTACCAATTTGGTCCCAAGTTAACGAAAGTCTAAAGACAAAACTAACGGAGGACCAAATTGGTTAAGATTTTTAAAGTTGAGGACTTAATTGGTCAAAAAAAATAATCAAGGACTAAATTTGTAATTTCACTATAATTAAGGGACCGTTTTGATAATTAACTCAAAAATCAATGTTCCTACAATTGGAGAGTTGCAGCAAACTACATAGTAGTCGGTAATAATCCTTATTTGACATTGTAAAGTTTTCTAACTGAAATATAATTAAAGTTGATAATCTTTAACCCTTGATTAAATTTTTATTTTAACTATGCCATTATTTTCTTTGGACCTACCACAAAAATTAGTTTATTTGTTCACTTTAGTATTTTCTTGTAATAATAGAAAATGTGAAGACTAAGATTCAATATTTTGGTTACGTACGTTTAACAATAGTTCTTTCTTCAACGGCAATAATTTCTTGTCTCTTTTCATTAATGTACATGCAGTACTGCAGTGCATCCAATTAGATCACACTACTTTTTTTTTAAAGGATCGGAGGTCACACTTCTTAATCTTTTCAGAATCAAAATCTACAAATCACAATTAATTACGGAGTATTAATTATTATAGCTTTATTAGTACTACGGTCAAAACTAACATTTACTTTAAATTTCAAATACTCCGTATTAATATTAATAAATTGAGAGTGAATCCTAAGTATAAATTAAACTACTCCTATGGTATTTGACGATGTTATACATCACGTGTTTATATTGTTATAAACTTTTCTATTAAATATAGAGTAAAAGACATTTTTAGTCCTAGACTTATATAGTGACACAGACAATTTTGATCCTTAATAAAAAAAAATCAGACAATTTGTGGACACTCTTATTATGACGAAGACAATTTTAGTCCTCTGTCACTCTTCCCGTTAAATGCCCCATTTGAGAGGGGGTATTTGCGTCTTTTCGTGCACCATCATCTTCATCTTCGTCCCCTTGGCCTGAAAAGTCACCGGACTTAGCGTGACATCTCCTTTCTCAACAGCATGGGCATCCGCTTCTTCATCTCCATCCTCGCCTGTGACTGTTTTAACTTCTAGTTAAAGCTTCATCTTTTATGGACCTTTCATCTTCTTGGCTGTTAGAATCGAGAGAGGTGATTGTGAGCTTGTAAGCTTATCAGCTTCTCCATAATAAGCCTTCACTGAATTCCTGCCTGATTACCCAGAAGTTAACAAATCAAAGTCCACAGTTTCTTGAACAAAAGGCTTTGTTCTGTCTCTGAAAGAAAAATCTAGGATGGGTTTATGTTGTGGTTTCATCTTTGTCACAGGAGAATCAGATCCCAGAACTGGAGATTCTACATGACTGCCTGAATCTTCTCGCATTGAGCCACTGTGATCGGCCAGTAACTCCTGAAGTTTTCTGTTGAATTTTTTGCATGCCCTCAATGCATCAAGCCTGGGATTAGCCCCGAATCCTTGTGTGGGAAGGACAACTTTCATTTAATGTGTTTGAGGCGGTTCGCTATGGGCATTACCTTGTGATTTCTGCTTTGTTAAACCAGACGTTGGTGGCTGTGAAAAGATAATATGAACATGAGTGCAGAAAAGGGAGAAAGGGGAAAAGACGAATGTGTTGAAGAGAGGAAGCTCAAGTTGAAGGTGAAGTCCTCCAACTTGCCCTTGTTCGAATTATTATCCGGAAGCCAGTTTGATCCACCAGGGCCCGCGCTGAACTTGTGGACCAGAGAGACCAAAAGAGTGCTCATGTAATTCCCTGCGGAGATGGCGGTCCAGAATAGCGCCGATGCCGTGCTCCTCATGCTCTCTGGCGCCTGATCGTAGAAGAACTCCAGGTGGGCGATTGACATGAAGGCCTTTGCCATCCCGTGCAGGCAGTACTGCTGTACCAGCTAGAAAATCAGAATGGGAATCATTGCGTCTGCCTTGTCGCTTATTCCGTGGGCGGCGGCGGCGTTCTTCCGCTTTATTTCCACGAAGCCGGCCACAAGAGATGCGAAGATGGAGATGAAGAAGCCGATGCCCATGCGGCTGAGAAAGGAGATGTCACGCTCGAGTCCGGTGACTTTTCTGGCCAAGGGGACGAAGATGAAGATGATGGTGCATGAAAAGACACAAATACCCCCTCTCAAACGGCGCATCTAACGGGAAGAGTGACGGAGGACCAAAATTGTCCTCGTCATAATAAGAGTGTCCACAAATTGTCTGATTTTTTATTAAGGACCAAAATTGTCTGTGCCACTATAAGTTTATGACCAAAAATGTCTACTCTTAAATATATGTCGTGTTTTTTTTGTTCGAATACTACTGACTCTGTTACAATGTAGTACTTTCTCCTTTCTCAATCTACTGAAACACAAAGAATCAATACTCACTTTACTGGACTCGAACCCATAACCTCCAATTTGAAAAAATCACTTCGTGTCATTAGACCACAAGGTCATTGACATGTGCCGTAATTAAATAAAGGTCAAAATAATCATTTTACTTTCACTTCAAACTTTTCATGAAAAATTTACATTTTGATAATATGATGACTCCATCTCATTCTAACTTATTATAAATTTTATTTTTTTGGTACTTTGAAGTTTTATTTGTAGAAGTATAGTATTTCTAATGTCACTAAGGTTGGACTCCCATATGAGAGGTTGTGGGTTTGAGCCTTAGTGGAGGCGGTATTGACTCTTTGTGTTTCAGTAGGTTGAGAAAGTAGTTATGAACAGATACTACATTGTAATAGAGTCAGTATCATTCAAAAAAATAAAAAAACAGTAGATTAACTTTGCTACATCACTAACTTGTAATATACAAGATTATTTATGTTGTTATTATGATATTGGGGTGTTTGGTAAATAGTTGTTAGCTGATTTGGTTAGTATGTTTGACTAGTTAATAGCATTAGCTGATTGTAGAAAAGTGTTTGATAAATTAACTGTTAGTTGATAGCTGATTACAAGTAAAAATGACTTTCTAAAAATAGCTGATATAAAAAGTTATTTTGAACAGTTTTTTGAATTAACATTTTAGAACAATAAGCTTTTACAAAAAACTAATTAATTAAACACTCGTATTGATTGTTTAACTAAGTTAAACCGCTAATAATGATCAAATAAGAGACAATTGACTAAAAAGCTAACTATATTACCAAATATTACTTTGTCGCATCATCATTGACATATCATACATTTGCCATATCATGCATTTTCGCCATTTCATAATAATACAAATTTTTTGTCAAAAGCGATTGCTATATATATGGTGAATTGAAGCTTATGTGTTGTTATAGATCGAGCAAAAGAGTAATATACAAAATTTGAAGGATTTACACGTAACTTTAAACTACGCTCCCCTTTAATAATTATCCTCCCATAATTAAATAAAATATCATCTTTCTTTAACGAATAATTTAAAATTACATAAAAATCTTCAAAGTTAAGATTTTAGACTATTTTGGTTATATTTAACCAGAAAAATACTCTCTTTTCCTCCAAACTTTCCTCTCATGAGGTGACTTTCATTCATTAGGTACCAATAAATTGATTGATCCAACTACTAATTACAAAATAAATGCAGCTACTAATTAGATGATACCACCTCGTCCTCTGGAGGTGAAATTTTTAAGAAAAATATATAAGGTTTTTGTTCCATTGCTTATCTAACAATTTTGATAAATTAATCACTTTAAAAATAATTGAAAGAGGGATATAATGTGTTTTAATTCAAAGGTCAAAAGTGTATTTTCTCAAAATATACCAATAGCATGCTAACAACATTGTACAAGATAGGGAAAATGTCAAATAGGCCCTCAAACTTTAGTTAAAAATTCAATTAGCCCCTTCAACTTTCAATTGCACCCATCAACAATTCATTTTGATGCAATGGAGCCTAAAATCCGGTAAATGATCTGCTATCACATGTCATTAGGAATCCGACCACCCTTCAGCGAAAATTTTAGGCAAAAAAGTGACCAGCGACTGACCAAGGTCACCTTCTCAACTGGAGAAGGCAATCCAAATCTGGTCGCCTTCTCCTTCTCCGTGATCGGCGACCGTTCGCTGTCACCAATCACTTTTTTGTCTGAAATTTTACAGCCGAAGGGTGACCGAATTCCTAATGACCTGTGATAGTAGGTCATTATCGATTTTTGAGTTTCAATGCATCGAAATGAATTGTTAATGATTGTAATTGTACCTTTTAAAAGTTGAAAGACTAATTGACTTTTTAGCTAAATTTTGCGGCCATTTGAAGTTAAAATTGTATAAAAGAAATAATATATATCTAGCTTTTTTGAATGACAACAAAAAGATGACTTGTAACTTGTAAGAACTCTGAATCGTCCATATATTTTGAAGTATTTTTTTTAGATTTATTTTATTAATGTTGTTGTCGCTGGCGAGCCATGTTGCCTGTGATTGCGCTCCATATAATCCTTCTCCAGTACTATACTATCATTGCATTGCATCTTCCAACCCCACATCCTTAACTTTTTTTGAAACCATTTTCTTAATTTTTCATCATAATACAGCTTGCCGACACACCCCTCTTTCTCTCTCTCTCTCTCTCTCTCTCTCTCTCTCCCTGTATCTTAAGAAACAGGTTTTCCGGCGGCTGGGGCGACCCATTTTCCTGGTGGTCTTTGAGCTAGCTAGCTAGCTGAGCTGCCTTCATTTTCCATGAATAATATTCAGTACTTGGGTTGGAACTGACTACTAATCTTCAGTGTGGAAGGAGATCGGAGAAAAGGTTAAAAAAGCTTTAAGCTTTAGTGGTTGAGGGGAAGGAGAAAGATGAGACTAAGGAAGCCGGTGCTGTTCTTGCTTCTGGTGACGGTTCTTTCCCCAATCGTTCTCTATACTCACACTCTCGCCACTTATTTCGCTTCCTCTTCTTGTAAGCACCAACTCTGATCTTCCTTCTTTTTCCAAATCAAAGTTTAATGCTCCAGGAATAATGTGATTTTATTTTATTTTTTTCTCTCGTTTTTGCAGCTAGAAATGAATTCGTTGAAGAAGTCTCCACTTTTGTAAGTAACTTTCTCGATTTATAAAAATTGATTTTTTTGGGTTCGTTTAGATCGATTTCTTGGATTTTGATTTTGGAATTTTGCAGACATTGGGTGGTGAAATCAGACCTTTAAATGTGCTGCCTCAGGTATCAGTATCTTTAATTTTCTTTATTTGGGGAGATATGCAGTCAGTTTTTGACTTTTTTCTTTCTTTCTATTTTCTTGATTGCCTTTGTTTCTGTTCCTTGTTTTACCATTCCAATTGATTTTTTGTTGATTAACAGGAGTCTGATACTATTCTGAAAGAACCATTAGGTATTGTGTATTCAGAAAATTCAAGCCTATCCCTTTTGAATGGCTCAGATGGTAAAAGCAATGAAAATGCTCGTAAAGCCAGACAGCTTGCTGAAGGTTCTTAATTGCTTATTATATCTGTGACTATGTGTATATTTAGAAACTATGTAGTGTTGACTTCCATATTTGATTTGAGTATTTATTATATGCTTCCTATATATATACCACCAGATTTACTAGAAAATGAAACAGCCAACACATCTACCCGGGGATCTGAAAAAGGAAATGTTGAAAATCCCATAAGGCAAGTAACTCTTGAGGGGCGTCAGGAGAATGAAAATGTTTTAGTAAAACCTGAATCAAATGGGGCCACTGGAAGTACTAGTAGAGCTTCTTCTAATGCAAGGGAAATCAAGCACACATCTGACAGTTCCTCCTTGAATGTGGTAAGTTTTACTGATTTATTCACCCTTTTGATTTGCTCGTCATTTATTTCTGTTAAGAGTCAAAACATATGGGTTTATAAGGCTATGAGTCTGACTAGCTAATTGATTGGATTCAGTCTTTTTAGTGTGGTTTTACCCATGTGCATTATAGCCCAGTTGAGTGGGAAGGATTGTTTTTGGGTGAATATGATATGGGTTATGTTGAAAACCTAATGTTATGCATGTACCAACAAATATACAATTTGTCTCATTTTGTGCATACTTATCAGCCCTCTGGTGGTAGAGCTGCTTCCCGAGGGCGGCCTGTTAGGAACAACCCTAAGAGTCAGAATGATCAAGTGGTTCCACCAGACACTCTTATTCACCAGCTTAAAGATCAGCTTATCAGGGGTAGAGTTTACCTTTCACTCTCGGCAACAAGAAACAATGCCCACTTCATAAGAGAACTCCGCTTGCGTATGAAGGAAGTTCAAAGAGCACTTGGTGATGCTACAAAGGATTCTGACCTATCAAGGAAGTAAGTGTTCTCCTAGTACCTCTCAATCAAATGTTCTAACATGAAGGGTCTATTTTATTTACTTTTTAATCTTTATGTGCACAATTAAAAAGAAAAATGGTCCTTTTGTTGTAGTGCCAATGAGAAGTTGAAAGCAATGGAGCAAACATTGACCAAGGGGAAGCAAATACAAGATGATTGTGCTGCTTATGTGAAGAAGCTTCGTGCTATGCTTCACTCTACAGAAGAGCAGCTTCGAGTCCACAAGAAACAGACATTATTTTTGACCCAGTTAACTGCTAAAACACTTCCTAAGGGTCTTCATTGTCTTCCTTTGCGTCTGACAACAGAATATTTCATGTTAAATCCTTCTCAACAGCATTTCCAGAATCCAGAGAAATTAGAAGATCCCAATCTCTACCACTATGCAATCTTCTCAGATAACATATTAGCAGCAGCCGTTGTTGTAAACTCTACTGTTTTCCATTTGAAGGTACTAAAATACATATGCTCATTGCTGACTGATTCATTAGCCTAAAAATCTATATGCATGTTCTTCCCAAAAGGTTGAATCCCCAACCCCAAGGGCTTCCCCCACACCCTGGCCCGACAGAACACAGAGGCTAGACCTTTGCTTACTGCGCACAAGGAGCCCCCCTCACTTTGAGAGGCTTCTCCCACACTACCGCCACACTACTGCTAGTGAGACTCGATCCCTGGTCATTCTTCCCAAACTTCACCACTATGACCAACTGAGCTGCCCATGCGGGCAATCTATATGCATGTTGACAATTCAAGAAGGCGGAGTAGTTTTAATTGTGTATCTTTGTGTTTGTGTGTGCATGTATCAATATGTCGTAGACACATTCATATTTTCCCTGTATGTTCCAGTTTGCAATGTCTCTATCCCTCTATTCTTTATTTAATGACTCCTTTAAACCTCTGAGCAGGATTCTTCAAACCACGTTTTCCACATAGTCACTGACAAGCTCAATTTTGCTGCAATGCGGATGTGGTTTTTGGCAAACCCCCCAAAAAATGCTACAATAGATGTTCAGAACGTGGAGGATTTCACATGGCTAAATTCGAGCTATAGTCCAGTTCTCAAACAATTGACTTCTCCTTCCATGATTGATTATTACTTCAAGGCCCGTCGTGCAAATTCTGATCCAAACATGAAGTTCAGGAATCCCAAGTATCTCTCAATCATGAATCATCTTCGTTTTTACTTGCCGGAGATCTTCCCGAAGCTGAACAAGGTTCTCTTTTTGGACGATGATGTGGTGGTTCAAAAGGATCTTACTCCCCTTTGGTCTGTTAATCTGAAAGGTAAAGTCATCGGTGTGGTGGAGACATGTGGAGAAAGCTTCCATCGGTTTGATCGCTATCTCAACTTCTCAAATCCCTTGATTTCCAAAAAATTCAACCCCCGTGCTTGTGGCTGGGCATTTGGAATGAACATCTTTGATCTAAATCAATGGAGGAGGCAGAACATTACCGAGGTGTATCATACTTGGCAGAACCTGGTAAGAAAATAAGTCTTTTATGCTCAAGAGTTATAAACTTTTACATTTTGATTTTTATTCACACTTGAGATGTATCATTTGATTTTTATAAATTCTAATTGCAGAATCACGATAGACAGCTGTGGAAATTGGGCACCCTTCCACCGGGTTTGATTACCTTTTGGAATTATACCTATGCCCTTGATCGATCCTGGCATGTCCTTGGCCTCGGCTACGATCCAAGTGTAAGTCAAAAGAATATTGCACAGGCAGCAGTGATACACTACAATGGTAACTTGAAACCTTGGCTCGAAATAAGCATTCCAAAGTTCCGAAACTACTGGTCGAAGTTTATTGATTACGACCAAATGTATCTGCGAGAGTGCAACATCAATTCGTTAAGCGACAGCTGATGGGTTTTTTCCCCTTCCTCTCGCTCTTTTTTACAAGTCACTATTTTTTTTAGGTATATATATCAAGAATTAGAGTTAGCATTGTGGTTTGATTTTGTTGTGCCTGACATCTTTAGATTTCTCAGTTATGCCCGAGGGCAGATGTATCTGTAAATGATTACGCATACTCTTATCAATTTTGTATCTCCATTTTTTGTTATCCCGACATATTAACACAGGTCTCAAGTAACTGAGACCATTTGCATTACATTGTTTATTCCTTGGTGTTGAGAACATGTTTTTCTTGGCTATTAGTCTTCACTGCGAAAGTGTATTCGTACTGTCTTTGCTGCTGCTATGCATAGTGCTTTGGTTCAGGCTTGTATTGCATGCCAAAAGACACCAAGAAAGCCATATGACTGCAAAATTTATGAGGTTAAACTCCTGATGAAAAAGTTTGTTTGTATTTAATGAAATTTACAAATAGAAGGTTGTCTGTTGTGGTGTACCAAAATTGTATGCTTAGCTGTTATTGAGAATGATGTGTGGGATATCATGCTTCCCTCACATATCTGTACAAGAATCCAGCTGTGAGTATGGTGTGGATTATTAAATGTTTTTTTTGGTTTGAAAGCAAAGAGTATTAAATGTTTAGTTGTGACCACATTCTTCAGGTTTCAGCCTAAAAACTTTACTGCCATTACTCTACATTTTATTTTGTTAGTTAATTGTTAGCTGCACTGCTCTGTCCATATTCAGTGCAATACAGCTGGACAATATTTTTAGTCTACTCCAAATGTTGGCTTCAAGAAATGAGTTTTTTTTTTTTTTTTTTTTTTTTTTTTTTTTTTTTTTAATATGTCAAATAAATCCCTTAAGTTAAATAGATAGTGTAATTAAGCTCTCTAACTATTACTTTCAAAAAAAAAAAGCTCTCTAACTATTTTTTTTAAAGCTTCACCAAACCAATTGAACCGGTAAAAAAAGTGCAATTGCGTCAAGAATTATTTATTCAACAAGTTATCTTTTTTTTTGTTAGACCATGAGGTGTTCTGAGTAGGTTTTAATTGTATGAGGTATCTTTAAGTCAATATGAGCAATTTGGAAATTATCCACAGTATCTGTTCAACAACAAATTATGCCAACCCTTGATTGGGTATAAAACCTTCCTAATGGAAAGTAATATGATGTCATTAAACCTCAAGGTATTTGGTTCGTTTTGGATGTATATATATATATATATATATATATATATATATATATATATATATATATATATATATATATATATATATGTGTGTGTGTGTGTGTGTGTGTGTGTGTGTGTGTGTGTGTGTGTGTGTGTGTGTGTGTGTGTGTGTGTGTTAATAAGCCTTGGCCCCTAACCTTAGACCATTACCTCCTTTCTTTGTACAGTCGAGTCTCTCTATTCTCTATTCTAGTGTTCTCCCATTCTAGAGATGTCAATCGGGCTAGCCCGCTCGGTTTTGAGCTAGCCCTGTTGGACTTATCGGTTTGAGCTAATTGATTTTTTATTTTTTATTTTTTGGCTCGAGTTGGCCCTAACCCTAAACCTCTGCCTATCGAGCGGGCTGCACCGCTAAACTAAATGAAAAATGAGAGTACCCACATTCGGTCGAGTAGGATGAGTTTTGAAAAAAATCCACCCACAACGTTGACAAGTTGAAATTTATTTCATGACATGTAAGTGATACAAGCTACCTTATAAATTCACTACATGACATGTAAATATGTGGCAAATTATGTTGTCCAACCGTGTGCACCGTGCATGGTGCACACGGTTGCGAAAACGGCGTCGTTTTACTTTTAAAAAAAAATCATTTTCGATTGCCGTTAGTTACGTAAACATATGTTCATAATTTTATAGTTTCACATTATGAATGTATAGTTATGAAGTTATGGATGTGTAGTTATGCAATTCTGAATATATAGTTATGAAGTTATGAATGTGTAGTTATGCATGCAATTCTGAATGTATAGTTATGAAGTTATAATTTCACATTCTAAATGTAAAGTTATGAAGTTATGGATGTGTAGTTATGCAATTCTGAATGTATAGTTATAAAGTTATGGATGTGTTATGCATGCAGTGTAGTTATGCAATTCTGAATGTATAGTTATGAAGTTATGAATGTGTAGTTATGCAATTCTGAATGTATAGTTATAAAGTTATGGATGTGTAGTTATGCAATTCTGAATGTATAGTTATGAAGTTAATGAATGTGTAGTTATGCAATTCTGAATGTATAGTTATGAAGTTATGGATGTGTAGTTATGCAATTCTGAATGTATAGTTATGATGTTATGAATGTGTTATGCATGCAGTGTAGTTCTGCAATTCTGAATGTATAGTTATGAAGTTATGAATGTGTAGTTATGCAATTCTGAATGTATAGTTATAAAGTTATGGATGTGTAGTTATGCAATTCTGAATGTATAGTTATGAAGTTAATGAATGTGTAGTTATGCAATTCTGAATGTATAGTTATGAAGTTATGGATGTGTAGTTATGCAATTATGAATGTATAGTTATGAAGTTATGGATGTGTTATGCATGCAGTGTAGTTATGCAATTCTGAATGTATAGTTATGAAGTTATGAATGTGTAGTTATGCAATTCTGAATGTATAGTTATAAAGTTATGGATGTGTAGTTATGCAATTCTGAATGTATAGTTATGAAGTTAATGGATGTGTAGTTATGCAATTCTGAATGTATAGTTATGAAGTTATGGATGTGTAGTTATGCAATTCTGAATGTATAGTTATGAAGTTATGGATGTGTAGTTATGCAATTCTGAATGTATAGTTATGAAGTTATGGATGTATAGTTCAAATTATGTACAACATAACGCCGTTAACGGCAATCGAAACTGATTTTTTTTTTTTTTTTAAGTTAGACGTCAAACGACGTCGGTTTTGCAACCATGCAGCAGAGCATAACGCTCCTAAATATGTAATGTTATCGGTAAAGATGTCAATTGGGCTAATCCATTTAGTTTTGGTTTCGAGCTATCCCTATCGGGATTTGAGATGTCAGACTTATCGATTCGGGTTAATTGCGTTTTTTTTTTGTCGGGTTCAAAATTTTTTGCCATAACCCTAAAACCTCGGGTTTTCGAGCTTATTGAGAAGGCTCAACTAAAACTTTTGACATTTTCAAATCAACACTCTAAATTGTCAATTTAATAAACTAGCACATTTACACTAATAAATATAAACTTATACATCACCAATCAATCTAAACCTCTATTTCTAAATTTCAACTAAAAATAATTAATATACTTACACTATAATATAATATGAGAAAATTTCAATTTTGGTCCACTAACTATTGGAGTTGTGTTAATTGTAACACTTGTGTAACACCCCCGATTTTCGTGCCATTTTAAAACATAAATACGTAAGGTAAGGTAACTAACATATATCATAAAACGTAAGCATAGCGGAAGTCTAATATAAAAACAGGGAAAACCAAGGAGTGTTATGCCACATTCACCTCAACGTGAATGCACAGGCAAGTCTAAAACCATCAAACTGTTTTGTTCAACAACTATGGCACACAGGCCAAAACACTAACTACATTGTTCAAGGGAGCTAAACTACCAACGGCTAACGCTCTCGCCATGTCTACTCAGGACCTGTAAAGCACATAAAGAAAGGGGACGACGCCCGGTCAGTGAATATTGCTGGTAACCCATCAATACGCGTTAAATAGCATATATAGATAGTGTAATACAAAATCATTTTTGAAACGGAATACAGTATATATCAGTTCAAAGCCATAGAGAGAAGTCAACTGCAAAGACTCTATTTCACTCTCAAAAGAACAAGGGAAATCAACATCCCAAGACGACATCAAGACAAGAACAACAACAGTACAACTCAACACAGCTCAAGATGTAATCTACTGATCACAAAGCAGAAAACATCAAGGCAAAGACAACAATAATAACAAGTACAACTCAAGGTGTATTCTACTTATCACAAAGTAGAATACCACTCGACATGCTTATCAGAAAGGAATAGACATTCACACATTGGCACTACATGCCACCGGGACACTACATGTCACATGTTCCAACCTTATGCCCTGTTCCAACCTTATGGCTACCCCCGGCCTTATTACAGTTCCAACCATTACCTCCGAGAACCCCTGTACTTCTGAGTCCAACCTTATGCCTCTGGGAACCGTCGTTCCCCCACCTACAACCACCAAATCAACATACCACCGATCTCGCAGTACACGAGGGTACCGATCATTTCAATCACACAACCGCCAACACATGAGTCTGAAGCCCAGATCATAAGCCTGAAGCCCAGTTTACAACTCCAATATCATTTCATGGCCATCACGAGGACCACATCTGTACCTTGGTGATTAATGTCTCATACCATTAACCGTGCAATCAAGGTACAACCAATACACACACTTTCATCACAGGAATCAATCAATGGATCACAACAAAGATATGAAACCATACTCAATCAAGGAAGGATTACAATCCGACACCAACGATGGTCAACACAAGTTGCCAACTTCAATAGGAAAGAACAAACCACACACACTAGCATTTCAACAACAAACTAGCATGCTAATTAAACGGGCAAACCAAACATAGTTCCGTAGAACATACAAGACTCATCATGGTTCAAAGAATCACAAGGTTGAACACTTAGCATGATTCAAGACACCAAATCCTACATGGATTCCTAACATATCGTTCTAAACATACGAAACATCAAGAAGACACTCAAATAGTCCAATAAAACAACATCGGGAAGTTAAAACATCAATTACCAAGTCAAAAAAATCACGGGGAACAAATCCCCGAACAACCACCAACATGTACCCCGCGGGTGGGGCCACGGGTGGACCTCCACCCGTGGTTCCGCTCGCGGGAACCATTCTCCCAGCCAAGTGTACCCCACGTGTGGGGCGGCGGGTAGGCCACTGCACGCCGTTTCGCCCGCAGGTACGTCCTGTACCACGAAATAATCCCTTCGGAGATTTTCAACAACAAGTCCAAATTCAAGTCCAAAACACCCAAAATCTCACAAAATACAACAATATGACTTGAATCAAAGAAATAGCCAAGCAATGGCATAAAAGAACCCTAATAACAAGCTCTAGATATGCATTCTCACAAGACAATGCGTCAAAACTCACATTTCATAACAAAAATCACATGTAGAAGTTAAGAAATCATCACATAGGTAAGAAAATAGATTTTGTAGAGCATGGGTT